TATTCAATATATTCTATTACAAGCTGCTATTTTTATAGTTTTTGTAGTTCTTTAACACACAAAGTCAATAGAGTGTCCATCCTTCCTATCTATCTATCTATCTATCTATTTATCTGTCTACGGTATCTATGCTCATATTTGTCCAACCATGCACTGTATCCATTACTCTCTAAAACATTGGATTATTAGTATTTTGTTAGTAAAGACATTTTCACTTGCAGAGAAGAAAACACAGCACATTTATTAGTATTTATTAATTTATCAGACAACATGGCCAAAGTCTTCACACTCTGGTTCATTTAGTGGGAGTTTCTCTGCATCAGACCACGTGGATGAACGTAGACTTCTTCACAGCGTTGCTTAGACTACACATTAATGTACCTGCAGATTCAGGGCTTCTGGTGGAGACCTTGATGTGCGATGGTTTGATGTCCTTCATCTCCAGGAGGGAGAGGAGCAGCTGTTTACCCAGGTGACCTGCTCCCACTATCCCCACACAGAGGTCACCATCTCCTGCTGCTGGTGTCACGGCAGAGGCCTGCTGTGCACCGTGACCTCTGAGGACACATGGAACAGTGTCATTGATTTACAACAGCTCCTTTATATGAACTTTATATGAACGTTATATGAACTTTATATGAACGTTATATGAACTTTATATGAACTTTACATGCTTGTAGTTGTTTTAAAGTTATTCATGTGTGTTCCAGGTGAATCACCTCAGTGAATGGACGAGTTTACACAGGTACAGAGCGTGCGCGCACCCGCTAAATGTCAGTCCAGCCGCACGTGCACGCAGGTGTGTGACCGTCTTCTCTTCCTCGGTGGATCCAGGGTCAAAGGTCAAACTGTTCAGACCAGCAGTGACGTCCACCATCGTCCTTCTATAAAACAGCCTGTGGTCTGCACACGTGTGACATCTGATGAAAGAGAAAACTTCACATTGTAGTAAGACATGGCTTCGAGCTGTCGCCATGCCAACAGTAACAACTTCCGACTTCACTGGCTATATATTTCAAAATAAAGCTCACCAAAACACGGTTACCTTTTCAGAATAAAAGCAAGAGCTATGTCGCGGAACAGAGAGAAGAAATTAAAATCATTGAAAACAAACAGAAAATCCATTCACACAGATCTTAATTTTTGTTGCAGGAAATCTCTAGAATGGTGTTTAGTCCCATTACATTAATGCCACTCAGAGCACATACCTCCATGAACAGCCACCTTATGAAACCACATTTAAATTCACTAGGTCCTGATTTTTAATTGGATCTGCACCAAATTGCACACACTCATAAATATCAGTCCTCCTAAACATGTAGGATTTCTTTCATTAAGATTTATTCTTGATTTATTCTTGAAGAATTATTCTTGATTTTTTGAAGTAATTGAAAAACATTCCTGAAACCACCCCGAACACAGATCCACAACCAAACCTTGAGTTCTTCTAGGTTCTTCCTTGGATGAGGACCGACCTCTCCACAAAATATCATAGAAATATGTTTGGTAGTATAATCCTGCCTGAAAACTAACAATCACAGACAAGAACATAATCACTTTGGTGGGGAGAAATACTAGAATTACCACCTTGCGGTATGCCTCCACCAATCAGTGCAGTTTCTGTCTACATACATTTTCTCCAGACTTCTTGTGAGTCCAACATAAAGTTTATAGCAAATTCCCTCAAGGTGTTCTTGATGTATGATACTCACAAGAATGGAACGTGTGTACAGTCGAAAACATAATGCCTCTGGTCACAGAGGCCTAAAAACAAGGCGCAATAACCACACTGCAGTGTGGCGACTTGAACTGTTTTTTAATTCCCTTTCATGCTTTTAATACAAATTCAAGAATCAACTGTACACATATGTACAGGAAATATTATTTCCACATAAACACAAAAATTAGCAAATCAAATATCTGCAACACAACTTTTTCACGTCAAATACTCATATTCAAAATTACACTGGAAGAAAAGATTTTGAGCAGGATATTAGGACTTTGCTTGAAGATCTTAACTCAACCTCGCTCCTTTTACAAGGTTGTATCTACAATTTGAATATGTGAGCAGCAAACAGAAAAAAATATTTGAAACTGTTACTAAATGTTGAAAGCAGCTTTCAGGATTTTGTGAAAATTACATGTTGATCACAGCTCAAAATAAAATTGTGAAACTTCATAACGAATTTGGTAAATCCTCCCGTATACCATTCATTTGGGCTAGTGAACCTTCAAGTCACTTAAAAGTGCTGCATACAGAACACATTCAGTCTTGATATTTGTCCTCTTGTATTTGCATGAAATGTTACACATCAGGACTATTTACAGTAAATAACAAGGCCCACATACAGTATGTGTTATATAAATTAAGAGTCATTACACCTACAATATTAGTGTTTGTCGTCACCGAGTGAGCGAACGTAACCACACACAGAACTTGTAAACAAAGCTGTTGGAGAATGCAGCCAATGTTTGCGCTTCATGAGACAACAGCGTATCGTGATTTCATATCTAAAATGCCCTTGTCTAATCTACAACAGATCAAAATCCACATAGAGATGATGTGGCTCACAAATGAATCATTCTTCATACATCCCTTTGACTGAACACACATTTAAACGATGCTGACAACCATGAAGGCACTGTGAGGGAACTGGTAAGCTGACACAAGCTCAAAATGCCACGAGATGAACAGTGTGTTTATTTACACCAGTGCTGTGATGAGCCTCTGCGATGTTCCAAAAAAAAAAAAAAAACCTATCTGAGCAAGGTCTCCAACACGTTTATCAGCTCTCGCTTGTGCACAGTCATGGTTTTCAGGTGCGATACGGCAACGAGAATCACTCCTCGCCCTGCCTCCACTTCTGCGATTCCTCCTGGCGAGCGTCAGGGTGAATCTGGTTCCTCATCCCACCCAAAACGTTGGAGGTGGCCTCGGTGGCCATAATGAGAGGCTTGACTACAGCTGGCGGCAGCTGTCGGAGAACTCCACCCACCGCCCCCGTCATCCCGCGCTGCTCGTGCTCCCGGGTGGCCGTGTCGTAGATGGTCAGTGCAGTGTCTGTGATCCCCTGTAGATGGAAACACCAGAGAAGTAATACATATTGAAAAAAAAGAAAGTGTAAATAAAGATGGACAACGCTGTCTTGCTGATACACTCACTCAACCAATAGTGAATCGGTCTCAGCTGTCAATCATGACATTTCACCCTGTTTTTATAGCATTGAATAATTAAATTAAAACCAAATGCACCAGAAAAATGTGAAACTTAAACATCAGTGTGATAAGAACTACCTAAAATGACAGAAACCATCTTTGAGAAAAATTAATTTAACATATATTTAGACTTTTAAGTTTGGGCCATATGCCATCCACTAACATGGAGGAGGCAGGATTTATGGCTTACACTGCAGGCAACCACCAGGTAGCGCCAAAGACACTTTTTTTTTTTTCCTTTTTGGGGAGCTGTCACATGTACACATGAACAACAGAGTTTCTTTTCGTTAGTGTCACTTTAGTGGGAATATTCATTCCAGGTTCATTTACCTCTTTTACCACCGTGTAGGCTTTGGCTACACCTTCTCTCAGGTCCACAGGCTGATGGGCCAGTCCGTAATGAGAGAACCGTTTTATCCTCTTTGAGTCTCTCTCATCAGGCACTGGAGAAACCATGTCGTAGGCCGTCTCTGCTGCTGCCTGAAAATTAGACAAACTATGCATTTCTTTGTTCCTCAATGGAGACAATTCTTATGAACCAGTGTTTTCCTTTAATTACTATTAAAAATCTCCCACACTTTCACAATTAATCGAAAGTATTTTTACACATCTTGTAACAACATAAAATATCTCTAAATGTAGTGTTTTGCACTGTCCAGTGTTTCTACAGATTTCAAAGTAAAATGCAAAACTACTACCCCATATTTAAAGATAAGGTGAAGAAGCTGAAAATTACCCTCAAAATCCCACATCTCTCAAAATACAGACAATCAGTGTCCATAGTCTTTCCCACTGTATGAGATAAATTCTGACCATTCTGTTAAGTTATCAGTTCCACGTTGGTCTTGTAGTTTTATTACAGCGTGTTAATGTCTGTATGGTTGAGAAAGAACTACAATAGAGACATTATAACTGATCCACGCTGCAAAATCATTTCTCTAAAAGAAAAGAAAAACTTATTTAAAAGAGTGATGGGAGAAACTTTAAATGAACATAATTAAGAATATTTAAGATCTAAAATGTAATATTTTAAAATATTAAATACTCTTCAAGGCAAGTAATTCAGATTAGTGGAAACACTGTTCATTGTGGAGCTGTGCATATTGATTCACTCAGCCTATCCTCTCTCAAACACATCGACAAAAGAGCCATCTGTCATAGTCACAACACTGATAGTTACCATGACAGAATCTGTGGGAAACACTGTGAATACAGACTTTTTTCTGACAGCGGAGAGGCTTGTTTACCTGAATAGTCCGCACCATCCTGTTGGTGAGCTCCAGAGCAGCCATAGCAGTGGAGGTTCCAAAGGAGGCTGTGCCGCGCTGAAACCCGCGGACTATCCGGCCGTCTTTCCTGTACTGCTCGATCGGGAGCCAGACCAAGTCCCTGAATCCTTGAACTGAACAAAACATTCATTTCAAGAACAGGGAAACACCTGAGAGACACACCTTGATAGTAAACTCATAAACTATACAAGATATTCACAGCAGCTTTAAAGAGGAACTGAACTAGTACTGAGTATGGCAAAAAAGGAAATTGAATTTTATGTTAAGTGTGGGACATTTTCCTGGTGCATTGTCACATGGGCTCACTCTGGCATATTCAGGATATTTTCGACGGGGCTGGAAGGAAGAGTTCCGGAAAATGTCTCAAGCAACTGGCTTTCAAGAAAGCGGGCAGAGTTCAGTGCCAGTCTGAAAGCTGCTTAATACTGGTGTCACTTTTTGCTTTATACCTAGCCATGTAAATTCATATATAAAATAAGTCTGAAAACATAAAAAGGCTTATAACCAGATTAAAATCACGTTCTGTACTCACCCAACTGTACCAGTGAGTGAATTGGTCCGACACCACCCAGCAGACCTGGAAGCTGATTCTTCTTTATGTCATTCAGCCACTCGTTTATTGCATAGGAAAACAGCTTATCCACACCTAACAGTCTGAAAGACAGAGGAATATATATATTGATATATCACATATTATAGACATCTGGAATTAACAACCAGTCTCATCTGATATATTACTGTGATACACATACCCTTGTCTGTAGCACAACTGTCTCAGTTTCAGCTCTGAACAGTTCAGTTGTGTCAACCCGATAATGATTCCAGCAAATGTTCCCTGAAACACAGAAGTTATCAAGTTATTCATAAACCACTAATAACCTAATGTGGAGTTAATGCAAAGTGCTCTGAGACATTGTACCTGTTCCATTGAAACATGTTTCCCATGGTAATCCAAGCGAATTGGAACCTCAGACGTAAATCGGAACTCCCTTTTAGGAAAAGAAGATTTTACCAAATATAAAAAAGCAATTTAGTCACTATTCACAAATAATTTCATCATTTGTTTCCTTCAAACACTGACCGAAAGAAGATTGGCTGGTCTTTGAAAGAAAGAGTGTCACTGTCACTGGCCTCTTCCCTCCCAGATGTAGAAAACCCATTGTGGCTCAAACGTCTCTGTGCAGGCACTGAAATGATCGGTGCCGGGTCCTGGCTGCTGCCAGCGAGCTTGGAGAAGCTGCAGGAGATCTCAGGGGCAGCGGCTTTCTTTGTGGAAACACAGAACGCTGCGAAAAAAGACATCACAAGCAGCTTTTAGTTGAAAGTAAGGTTTACAACAGGTATGCGTGTGTGTGGATGAGCCCTTTTACCTTCTTGAGCAGGTGGTGAGAAAAACTCAACTTCAGTAGCAAGACTTGTAAAGAAGTCCTTCAAGAAGAATAGTGCGTCCTTCAAACAAAAAACAGGAGTGTCACATAAAGATGCTACTGAAGATGCTGTGTGCAGGAAAAATGATCCGTATCTGAGTCTTGTACCTGATCAATATTGAGACGAAGAGGCATCAGGGAAACACGCAGACAGCACTCCTGAGGAGCCTGCCCCGACTCCGGACACATGTGCAGTGCTTTAACTGTCAACTAAGAGGAAATGCACACAAGACATTACATCGGGTCAACACCTGACTGGGTTAATGTGAACATGTTACTCACCATGTTAGAATGGGCCTTGCGGGGCATTTCTTTGCTTGAGTACAAGTAGAGGAACTTATTCATCTGTGAAGTTGCAAGTCGGTCTCGAATCTCCAAGTCCTGCACGACAAACACCTGCCGAGAGACTGGCTGATCCGCTGCCGACCCAGAAGCCACCTGGGCCTGTGGGTACACCTCATGTTGAAATCTCACCTGAGGTAAAAGAAAGGGTGGTAAACGACAAAGAAATGACACAAGGCATTTATATGATCCATAAAGTTTATCACAATAACTTTACCTTGCTGAGCTGGATCTCCATCAGGACATCATGGTTCCTCCCTTTTCCACCTCCTGCCCGTCCTGAAGCACTGGCCTGTCTGACTGGAGTTTGAGAGGGGGAGCAATGAGGTGTAGACCTGCAAGGCAGAGAGAAGGATACAAAATGAAAAAGTCAATTTCCCTTTGATCACATTCAAACATTTTCTGCACTATTAAATAGCTTACCCGCGGCTTCTAGCAGGAGACGCTGAGAAAGTCAGACTCCCAAAGTCTTTCCCACCATAAAGGTGCCAGATAACAGAGATCTCCTTGATGAGGTAACGCACCTCTGGGATGGGAAAGTTCACAGCTCCGCGACTGGAATCGTTCCCATACAGAGGCTGACTGAAGTGATCCTGTTTAATTTCCACTGGGTTTGAAGTAAGCCGCTTTACCACTGGCTCCTGATCACGATCCTGAAACACATTTCTCACAGTCAGACAACATAAACCTCACGAAAACTGTGTCATAACCATGTGAGATAGTATATCCAAACCTCTCCTCTGGAACCAGGTGTTTCCAGGATACAAAAGTCATCCGTCTCTTGGGTCAGGTTCGGGACAGGAGTGATGAGAGGAGAGTGAAGCATGGGGTAAGTGGGGCTGGGATTCTGATTAAAATTCCCACTCTCATCTGGGAACAGGAACAAGTCTGAGTGAGGCGGGTCGTGGTCATGATTTCTCTCCTCGTGTGCACCTGCAGATGTGTGAAACGTTATAAAATCTCATAGACACAGTGATTTACAATTCTAACGCTTACTGAGCGAAGTCCTCACCGTTCTGCTGTATCCCAGGTGTATGCTGCCCATCTGTCTCCTCCATCGCCTCACTCATCAGATCCTGCAACATCTGCTGCTCGGTCTCAGCAAGCAGAGGGGTCTGAGATGTGGGCCGGCTGGGAAACTCCGCCTATTCGAACATATGCTCAGACTTAGCAAACACGACTGGTAGGGATTTGAAATTGTCATAATTGGTGTCACTGCTGAGCTGACCTTGGATCTTTGAGTACTGCTGCTATGCTTTGCCTCTGGTTCTGCAGGCGGCAGCAAGTCTCCATAGCTGGCGACGTACTGGATGAGGTTCATGAGGGCGGCGCAGGAATCTGAACAGGTTCTGATGTGAATGACGTCACTGGAGCAGCGCAGCTCAAATCTCGGCTCCACCTGTCACCCAACAGACGATGAAAATGTAGAAATGACCGATTCTGGTTCATGAGAGAAGACATTTAAAATGTACATGGCCATTTAGAGACAGACAACTCTTACCAATTTTCCATCCGCTCCAGGTTTGACAGCTGTAATCCTCAGCTCCAGTGTTCCCATGTCGACCACTTGGACGTAGTCTGTGACAAAATCCAACAGGAAACATTGAACAAAGCTGCATTTTAAACACTTCATGTAGTTTATTTCAAATCATTACTGAAGACAACTTACCACGTGCTAGATTAACAGAGACTGCATTGCTCTTGTCTGAGAGGAACAGAGCAGCTTCGTCCAGAATGATCCTGCAAATAACAGGTTGCGTTTAGCAAATCTCTCTGTAACTCAGCTTCGTTTACGTCTCTCAACTTTGTACCAGTGACAAATACAGGAGACTAATACCTGAGTGTTGAAGAGGAGTGGTCTAAAGAGAGGCTGCTGGAGATGCTGAAAGTCTCGACAATCAGCAGGGACCTGAGCGGCAGGTAAAGGGGTCTGTAAAGAGAAGGACAAATCCCACATGAGAATGAATGCAGTGATAAGTTATGACTGTGAAATAAATTACAGTTTTGAGGCGGTTCTTTACCTGTAATCTAAAGAGCAGCTCCATAGATGTAGATGTAGGGTGGTGACAGACGTTGGAGGAGCGTAACCCAACACAGGCTCATCAGAAATATTCAAGAAGTCAACAATCTGTTGGAAACAAAGTGGCAATAAGATCACAAGTGTCTGATTTTCCATTTTATTATTTTCTGAATATTTCATGTGAATGTGAAAGAATAAAAGAGGTGAGTAAGAGTTTTTTCTTACCTGGTCGTACCAGCCCAGACTGAGAGGGACAACTCTGTGCTGAAGTGTTGCTCCTCTCACTCCGACAGCAACCAGAAACTCCTGCATGAACACACACACACAGCAGCAACACATTCAAAGAGAGCTGGCTGATAGACTTTCAACACCGGTTCTGCCTAAATTGTGATACGGATGGACTGAATGTGCTGTTTTGTGAATTAATCAATAATCAATGCATAACTTTTTCTGGTGGTTCCCAGCACAAAATGTTACTATGGCAGTTCAGGTTTAGGCTCCAGAGTGGAGCCAGAAAAATCAATAATTCTGACTATAGCGCCATCTACAGGGAAAATGTCGCTATGACAGTCTGAGGTTAAGCGAACGCAGTAAATATCAGGACAGTCTTTAGTCATTGGATCTCTCACATGCTGTTTAAAAAGACCAAATAGATGAAAAATTATGTTACACAAATTTCTACTTTATTTTTTATCAATTATTTCTTATCTTTGCTTCGTCTTCGCTCTTCTGAAATACTGGGCCATTTTATATCTCCCAGTCTCAAACAATAAGTCGAATGTAGTCCTCTTATGCTGGGATTACTTCATATTCAAAAGTGATTAAGTAAAAAGGTTGAAAAGGGTAAGAATGGTGTCCTCATAACAAAAACACAGTGAGTGATTTGAGTGCTCTACCTTGACGTTGCGTTCTGCACTCTGTGAAGAGATTTTGACAGCGACAGACACCATGCTGCGGGCCTCCAGACCAATACTCTCTGAGGGTGTTGAGGACCTCTCAGGAGAGGTCTCTGATTGGTAGATAGTTGGCTCTAACCAATGGGGATGTGTCCTGCACGGCAACTTGATGTCTGAGACAACGGCTCCGCCATCCATGAGTCCTGGGAATGACGAAACAGCAGAGATGAAGCCAGACTATAGTAGTTTTTTGTGTATTTTAAAAAAACATTATCAATATCTTCACCATTACATAAGAGAAGGCGAGCATAGTTTACCTTGGTGATACATGCAAATGCTACTGGTGTGGAAGCAAATATAGTGTTGGTCTTTATATCCCTCATACTGCGTGACACTGAACAGCACAGCGTTCTTCACCTCCAGCCAGAACTCGCCATGTTTGTTTTTCAGAACAGTTTTATTTTCTCTCTGGAAAAACAAGAAAATAACTCACGGACTGTTGAACAAGCTGTTAACATTGACTCTGTGGTAACAGTGAGATATTCAAAATGAATGTGATCTTACCTTAGCATTAGTTTGTAGAGACACCAAGCCATGATTGACACTGAGGATGACAGAAAACAAACTCTGCGACGTCTTGCTCTGAGCTTTGGGCTTTTTCTTCTTACGAGACCTGAGGCCCACGTCAGAGGCAGGAGAGTAATAGTGCATGTTCTCTTCCTCTGAGCCGCTGGTGTCCTCTAAAAGCACAACACAGAGAATGTCTATCAACTTTTACTGCAGTATAAAACGTCTGTAAAATCATGTGAAATGTTCTTGCTGACTCACCCTCAGGTCCAGTAGAGCGGAACTGGCTGAAGCTGTCCTTGGAGTAAGTGTTGATCAATTGACTGGCGACAGAGAGGCCAACTCCATATGGCATGCTCTCAACAGTCTCCACTGGAGATGGAGCAGTGGGCTCCCAGAGAAGCAGGTCATTATTTATCCTACAATATCATAAACATTCATTTTAGACATGAAGGAAGATTGTCTCATTAGAAGTGTCTTACAGAGGAACTCAGATCCCTGGATGAAACTTTGGCTTCTAAACTTTTTAACTGATTATTAATTTTCAGCAAATATAAAATTATAGGTGTTTAAATGTAGGTTTAAATGTCAGATCCTTTACGAGCCTCCAGTATATCTCACATTACACATGACAAACCTTACATTTAAATTTGTTCAGCTTTGCTTTTATTGCCACCCTGTTATTTAATGTCCTTTTATAAATTCCCTACCTGTTGTGTAGTTTTTCATAAAACGTCTTGCTGGGCAGCACCAACTGCACATTAGGGAGACACAACTCAAGGATGAAGCGAGAGTTGTTCATGGTTTTTTCCTGAAACTCTGTCATCTCACCAACATCACCCGGAATGACCATCTGGAATTTAAAATATAAAATACAACTTATAAACCTGAGCTGATCACAACCTGCTCTGTCAACAGGTCAGGTATGCAGAGCAGTGCTCGTGTTTCTTCTTTGCATAATGATGCATTGGTCACAAATATTTAAATACATCAACTAGAGGCTAACCTTAATCCAGAAGGCAAAATGGATCAATGGATCAAAAAAAAAATACTGAACAAACAATTCTACAATTTGGCAAATTTTAAAATTAATGTTTTTAAATGTGCAGGAATCAAAAAGACTTTTCTTAATATCAAATGTATCTGTGCACTGATAACATGTAATTTTATGTTTTGCCCTCTATCCAAATCGGGTTGGTTTTGCATATAAATCAGGAATCATTTCTAGGCCAATACATTAAGCAGGTGTTTTATGCTCCACTGCATTCATTTGCATTTAAGCATAAAGAAATGTGATGACGCATACAGAGCAGTCTGTGATGAATGTGGCCTTTTAGGCCTGACCCACCTCCTCATTCTCATACATGACCCTACGTGAAGAAAATGGTGATGGCTCTGGTTTCCCAAAGTCACACACATCCTTCAGTGAATGAGCAGCCCCTTCCTCCTCTTCCTCCTCAAGAGAATGATCCTCAGCCCCCTCGTCATCCTCAGTTGTCACACGCTCAAGGATTGAGTGGACCGCCGTAGGGTTCATCTTCAGCACAACCCTGCTCAGAGAAAGTAAACACTAATGAAGATTGCCCTAAATGGACAGATCCGTTTGAGAATGGTTTGGAGGGTGACGCACCTCGGCCAGTCAAACTTAACGCTTTCGGATGATGTCATGTTTCCGTCCATGGTGTGGGACACCCTGAGGAATCGGGCGGCTGGTTGATCTGGCTCCTCCTGGAACTTCCCTTTTGAAATAAAGAAAAAACACAGAAATTTAGAGAGCAGTTGCTTAGAAAAAATCTTTAAAGCGCAGTTTGGAAACGTATTCCTCAGTTGGTCAACTTACCTACAAGTTCTCTAAAAGTGAGCTCCATCTTTGTTTGGTCAGGACAGCTGCCACCCATGAACTCTGTTTTAACTTCCAGGTCTTCAAACTCCAGGTAAAGTACTTCCTTCTGCAGGGACTTCTTGAACCAGGGGCCCCTCTCCTGATCTGAGCGCAGGTCGGGGATGGGAAATCGGACTGCAAGGCCGAGCACTGGGGCATTTACAGTCAGTGATACCTGACAGTTGGTTGGGGTGTGGCTGTCATCGAGGAAAACTTCTGTAAAAGCCTTGTGCTGTGGAATTAGTATTGAAACACAAAGATGTAGATCATATAGTCTTGTAGAGGCTATAAATATGGAACCTTTCATCTTTAATTGTTAGTTCCTGGCAGGACCTTACCAAGCTGACATGTTTATTATAAGATGTATACATATGGGAAGCCATCATCTCTGTAGTGGCCAGCTTCTGAGGTTGTAGCAGTGAGTTGAGACGGTCGACGATGCTGATGTCCAGCTCGGATCGCACAGGTCCCAGCTCGACCTGGATCTCAGCTTTCCGGGGAATGGTGCTGAAGCGAACCTGGCCGCCCTGCTCAGAGGAGAAAAGAGCTGACTGACTGTATGCAGGACAACACACAAATGCTTTTTCTGCATGTAGGTTGTTGTTGTTGTGTCATATTGGACTAACAAATAATGTTACCTGAGGGCCCCTGCGCTCAGCCTGTTTGTAAAGCAGGTGAAGGCAGGTGGTTAGCGATGCATCAGCACTGGCTGTGGTGTCAAATGTCAGGAGCTGAGTTGTGACAGAGAAAACAGTGAGAAACACTAACATCATGCCAGCTGCAAATGAAAGTATGTGCAAGTGTTTAACCAAGTAAAGCTCAGTGCAGAGCAAACCGTGTTGAGTTCAGGCTTGAAACTCTTACCTCAGTGTACTGAATGCCTCTTTGGGAGCCTCCAATGACAGCCTCAGATGGGAACAGACACTCCAGGAGTTCCATCTGGTTGAGAGAGACGTCAGTGCTGAAAGTCCGTAAGTTGGATCCCTGACTGTGCTCATAGTTTATCTTCAGATCCTGGCCCACAAACCTGCAGATTTAAGCCCAGGTCAGACAGATTTCCAAACCCTCAAATCATGAACCTGGCCTTGCATAAGAGGAATTGGTGAAAAATAAAAGTGCACCTGAGGTGGTCATGAGGACAAGCCTGATTCAATGCTGTCCGGGACTGGAGGAAAGAAGCAGGAGAGAGCTGGCCCACCATGCTGAAGAAGTGTGCAGCCATGGGGCCGAGTGCCCGAGGGGCAGCATCTGGTGGTGGCAGCGGGTCGATGTGGAGGACAGAGACAGCCAGGCTGCTCAGTGTCAGCCTCAGCACCAGCTCTGGCCTGGACTCATCACCATGAGGTTTAGATGGATGGGCTGATATAAATCAGTGACAGATAAAGCACATGCAGATACTTGATATTTATAAAAACTCTAGTTTAATTAAAAACCACGTGCAATGGAGGGCAAAGAATTTAAGGAACACTTTAGAAACTAGTCAGGGAGATAAGTTGACTTAACTAGTATTTAATGGTTACTTGTATAAAATATGTTGTAATATTTCTATACTTACAGGCCAGTCTTAGCAACTTTTGAGCGAGTTGTGAATCCCGTGACTGGTGAAGTGTTTCATTAGCCTGCTTCTCTCTTTGTCTTGGTACATCCATGTAATCATCCCACAGAGCCTACAAAAGCAGATATGATGCCAGATAATAAGAGAACAGCAACTCACTTATCTGGAAAATTTTCACCACACAAGCTACAACACATATGATTAAAATCAATATCTCTTAATTTTATTTACCAGAGTAACCGGACAGCTGATAGTTCAAGCTCTCCTCTACATTATATTTCAATGCCTCTATGACTTTAAGACTCACTGTTGCGTTTCCAGAGGGAGACTCTCCTGGGGAGGCAGAGTAGTTGCTGTTAAGTGACAAATCCAAGTCAACAGTGGGTGGTTCTCCCAGAGGAGGGAGGGATGACAAACTGTGAGACATGTCCATGTCGGCCATGGAGAAGAACACATCATCTATATCAGCAACCAGAAAATAAAAGAAAGGACAAGTTTCATTAGACAGATGCACCCATGATCTGGCTTTTAAGAAATGAAAGGGTTAGAAGATGGTGCTTTAGTCTAACCTCGACTTGACACAGTTCTGGTTGTCTGACTTTCAATGAGGTCGGGGTCTGCTCCTGGCACAACATTGTCCTTCTTCAGACAGCGGTTCAGCTCCATATGGAGCCGATACTCATCTTCCTGCTGTATTGGTCGACTCTTTCTGTCCTTAGCCCATTCCTGTGCACCTTCACACAAAGAGCAAGAAATACAAGGTTTGCTCCATTTCTTTAACTCAGTTGGAAACACTTTTACCCAGTTTGATCCAAATAATCAAATGGGTGCTCACTTCCACCAGAGAACGCTCCAAACAAGTCCAGGAGGAGATGAACTTGCCGTGGGGACAATAGGAAAATTAATGTATCTATATGTCCGACAACATCCAGCTGAAAAGGAAACCAGCCTCGTTACTGTCTTTAACCAACGCGCATAATACTGATATATAATCAGGAAATTTTTTTAGACAATGTTGTGATCAAGAAATTGTTATTTTACCTTTGCTCCAGGCATTGCTAGGTTGTTTTTCAGGGTGAGGGACAACTCGATTCTGCCGTCAAGGCTCCCAACCTGCACAGGTTCAAATGGTGTTGTAGAGGATACAGGCTCCGTGAACTGGGGGTGAGGCTCACATATTATTCTGGGATTCCAGCTGGGGGAGAGCTTTGGCTCAGTTTCCTACAAAATGAAAGGTACATTTTTAAAATAAGACTGCATACCACTCTTTTAGCCATTATCCAATTTCAAAGACTTGTTGTAACCAACCGTTGGAGTTGGTGATGATTTACATCCAGCTCGAGAAGCGTCTGAAAATTCATCCCAAAATATGGTGATGCCTTCCATCTGCAGGTTCTTATGCGCAAATGTGGTTGGCTGATGCACATTCACACTCGAACTCTCCTCGCCCGTTTCATCACAGTAAACAATCCTGAAAGCAACAACAGAACACAATTAACTTGATACATGCATATTAGCAATGTCTTCCATATATTTAGCTGCAGCCCCTTTAATTATAAAAGTGTAATTCATTTTCTTTTATGTTTCCCCTCAGTTGCATCTTTCCCAAGATCAGTGCAAACTTACTTGTTAATTCGTATCTCAAGAGCAATTCCAGTTTTAGAATTCTCCGGAATGTGTTCGACTCTGAGGACAGTGTCCAAAAATGTCACTTTGACCCTTCTCAGGACTGCAAACGAGAAAATGTAATTACAATTCATGTGAAACAAGTACATAATTAAAATGTTGCCTATTGCCTAATGTTATGAGCATATTACCTGTCTCTATCGTTTCTGCAAACTTCTCCAATCCCTCAAAAGGCTGGAAGCTCTCTCCCATATCATCAGTGAGTTTCTGGCTAAGACATTCCTTGGCGAGCTGCATGCTGCTCGTCATGAAACTGGACCAGTACATGGGCTCAGTGCCAGATGCTGTGGTGATAAAGATAATCATCTTTTCAGTGAAATTAACAGCCCCTTATTTCTTATGCAAGAAAATAACAAGATGTTTTCTCAACCCTTTTATCCACAGATAGTGTTGTTGTGACCTTACCCACTCTCGGCCTGGGTCTGAGCACCATCTCCAAACCCTTGACCTCTAGCGCACAGTTTTCCTGTAGCAGGGCAGCCCATGGAACCGTTAGGGAAATTGTCTGGATGAACCCGGCCATCACTTCAACAGGGGCGTCTGCCGTCTCTAGCAGCTCATTGAGAGACTGAAGAACAAGACATAACAACGCTGAAGCTTCTCTCCATCCAAGCAGATTCTGTTAACATCAAATGAATTTGTCTGATGTATTTTCACACTACACATACCCATTTATCCAATGGCACTTGGGCAAGTGTTCCAGTGCCTTGATAGAGGTCCAAACTAAGTTGATCCAAGCTCAGCTTCTCCTGCAGAAAGTTGCCAAGATACCGGTGCAGGAGGTACCTGCACGCTCGCTTCTTGATGGACTCTGAGAAGGGCCAAGGCATCTTTAACTCAACAGGTGCACAGTACTCAGGCAATGAATAGGGATTTAGAGGCTCCGCAAACCGAAAGGCTCCTGCTTCTCCAACGGCTGTGGATTAATCGCTGGTGTCACTGTTTTGTCATCCTGTCGACTTAAAGACATCGAGAAATGTTGAGTTCAAACATCCCTCATATCCCAGGAGCAGGGACACTTTGGAGGATGTGTTGACACTCAGTGATGTGTGCGGGAATTGGTTCGACCCCAGTTTGCTGCTCCTACAGAAACACACACATGGTGCACGCTGTAATTTGACACTTGTCACAACATGAGGATTTAACACGTTATGTTTACAGGCGAATACAAAAAGTAGCAACTGTAAACAACTGAGTCGCGTTATAATCTCAGTAAATAACGTTATAGAATTGCTGACCACGTATAGTGCACGTATAGAGCCCAGTGTTATTGTCAGCACATGTTTACCAGATAAGCCAGGGTAAACTAGCCAAACGCTTGCGAAATAGCTGCTAGCATGTGATAGCACTGACAGTCAATAGCAGCCTGTAGCTGTATTTACTTAAAGCTGTCATCGTTATCAGGAGCGGAGCTGACTGCTGGCTAAACAAAGGCACGTCATTAAGCTAACTACATGGCTTGCGAGCGTAATGCTAACACACCGCTACACCCCCTAGCGGCATGGCGGTGAATTGCAGAGCAACGCGTTCCCTCGACGCAGAACTTCGAATGCTCAACGACCTACGGCGTAGGTACGGCGTAGACGTGACGCAGAAGCATAAACTAGGCTTAACGCGTTAGCTCGCCCACGAATCCCTGCTGTCGGCTGACTGATTGAGGGCAGATTAGCGTTGCCGGCTAACGACAGGCTAGTGTTGTGAGGTTGCTAGTTAGCCAGCTAACCTAGAAGCCAACAATTCCCAAGTCATTAACCATCGCAGCACAGATGCACGCGAATAAGAAAACACACATCACGTATACACGGCAGGTCTTTGTGTGGACACGCACGCGTTGAGCAGAGTCGAGGATGCTAGCGCGGATCTGAAGTTACCTTGTGGCTGAGTTGTTTACAAACACTTTCATGACTCCGCACAGACTCGAGCCCACACTGCGGGGTGGGACGAGACAGTGACGTCACAACATGGCGGCGCCGCCGCCTGCTGCATAGGACGATCACCGGGTCCAGATCTCTGTTTAGATATTTGTTTACACACCGAAGAAAAGAGATGTGGTGAAGACACGAGCGGGGCGATCAGAGTTCTGGATTTACTCTGGCGGTTTGGGAATCAGAGCTCGGACACTCGGGCGACACGTTTGTCTGCACCTTGTCCACGCAGCCCAGAGAGTGGGCTGGCGCTGGAAGCTTCCACAAGCCGGAAGAAACACAGGCAGCGAGGAGGTGAGCAAAAAGAGCGCGACTAGGTTAGAAAGGATGTATCTGACACTCCAACATCAAATGTGATGATAGCTATTATTAGTATAGTATAAGGTGGCTGAAGCATGTTTAGGAGCCTACAGGGCGGTGGATCGCTTGCGTGACACAGAGCAGTGAGTTCATAGCAACATAAAGCTAATGTTTGCTAGCTAGCTAGCTAAAGGAGACACGTCCATGTGACCATATGAATCAGCTGCTATATGACAACTCGTGCATTGATCCATAACTTACTGTGAGATCTGTGAAGACAGTAGCCTCACTTATCTTGTGTTAGCTAGCTGAACCTCAGGGCTGCTCTGAGCCCTCCAGATGTCGCTGTGATGTTTTGTATAAGTTTACTTGTGACTCACGTTGGTGTTATTACAAAGGGGGTGGACTGAAGTACTCGTGTAGTACTGGCAGTGATGTTGAGGAACTAAATATACTTGAGTACTGCTTTTCCATACAAAGTGGAGGTACTTGAGTATTTTATGCCCTGTTAAGTCTGTCGACATTTCAAGCAAAATACTGTATTTTTTTATCCCACTACATCTGTTCAGCAGCTCTAATTTCTAGTTGTGTAACAAATGAAGATTTCACACATAAAAACGTAATGATCATAAAGAAATCTGATGCATATTTTCAGATTAGACGACTTTACACTGTGAAATTATTAAAAGCACCTTGAAAAACTTCAATAATTAAAAGTCACATGCACATGATGCAGTAATAACTATATATAACACATTTCCTCATAATTATGAACTCATAAAGGATGTTATAAAATCACTGCACAGAGGTCAGATGCATGTGTGGGTTTCTCTTGTTTCCGGTGCGTGTGGTGAACTGTTGAATGAAAAGACTGCAGTTGAGTCAGCCCCTGAAATACCATAATGCTGCTGACTGTTACACAAATATGTGGACAGCAACTACCAAATTTCTCCCCCGTTTCTGTTACAGGGGATGGAGATAGACTGTCAGCCCGAGGAGTCCCTTGTCTCTTCATTTGATGACGACTGTGTACGGCTTGGCGACGTCAAGGACATGAGACTGGAGGCAGAAGCAGTGGTGAACGACGTACTCTTTGCCGTCACGGAAATGCACGTGTCACACAGTCTCACCAGTGCGTTGGATGTAGCCTACATCAACGTCCAAACGAGAGAGGGAAACCGGTATTGTCTGGAGCTCACAGAGGCAGGACTGAGGGTAAGACTCAGTGAGACACCGTGTTTTCTTCCTCTTTAAATGCTCCATACAAAGTTTTACAGTTAAGAACTCATTTGTATCCTAACAGGTGGTGGGTTACGCTTTTAATCAGGTGGACGAGGATTTGAGTAACCAGTATCATGAGACGGTTTACTCACTTCTGGACACGCTCAGTCCGGGATACAGAGAGGCCTTCGGAAACGCTTTGCTGCAGCGGCTGGAGACGCTAAAGCAAAATGGACGATAAAGAAGCAAAGACAAAGGGACTTGGATGCTACATAAGTTGTTCAAGTGAAACAGGGGCTGACGATGTGGGTGTATTTGGACAGGAGCCAATAATAACCAAGTCTGGTCAACTATTATAGCCGATTATGTGACATCCACCCGCCTAGCTACCACCACAATAAGGGGAACCCTGCCCTATCAACTTTGCTTTGTTCTGAGTTTCATATCATTGAACGGCACCATATTTGATAGTTCAGAGTACGCGAGGGATTGGCTACTGGTGCGGTTGCAACATTGTGGTGTTGACTTAAACTGTGGAAAGATCTTCCAGCTTCCACGTACTACAGGTTTGTAACTGTGCACATTGTTCAAGGATCCTGCAACTTTTTGTACTTGTCGAAGCAATCTGAGAAAGAAGCAGCAGGTTTTTAATGGTAGAAATTCCGTGTCCTCCTCCCCGTCCTCTGCTTGCACTAAAGCTGTGACCTGATGATCTCTGCTCCAATATACTCAACTTCTTCTCATTCAGCAGGTTTCTCAGTAAAAGAGCCAAAGCTATATTCTCTGTGTAACTCATATTGCCTTAATGATTGACTTTTGGTTAGAAGAGTACAAAAGGAACCCATTATGTTGTACTTACTGTGTGGAAGGAGATACATTCTGATTATGTGCTAACTTATTAGTTATCAATTTAATTATTTCTTCCTCCATATGACAAATTGCATTACATCTCAAGCTTGTATTCCAAACTGCTGTAAAAAGTAATTAAGGTCTTTGTGGAGGTTTCTTTTTTTCTTTTTTGTAGTTTTGTGCAAAAACATTTATTTTCAACATATCAGTTTATATCCTGCACAGATTTCTAATGTTGGTTTATTGTGACCTGATTGTGATCCTGCCTAGGTCTTTTGAAATGTACACTTCACACAGTTATTCCTTGCTGCTGGCATTTGCTCAGATCAATAAAATCTCAGAGGTATGTCAAGTTTTCTTCCGTCCTGTTAAAAGTCTTAATCGTGTTTCAAGACTGATCTTTATCCAGAGATCTGTAGCAGCTAGTCCTGCAAAGCTGAGTCGAGACACCAACAAGGAAACAGCTACTTCCTCACTGGTACTCAGTGACAGCATCAGCAGCTTCTGGGGGACACTGAATATCAAGAAAATTAAGTGCATCAGCTGCCTCATAGACTGGTGAACACTACAAACTGTTTAACTGGTCCTTTCAGCACTTTTTCTATTTTTACTTTGTGCTTTCACGTGCTCCCTAGACAGTAACATTTCCCGAGCTATGAAGTCTTTGTTCCGATTTCAGTGTGTTCATCAGTTTAGTCATGTGGAGAAAAAAAAGATGGTTTGTGAGAGACGGCCACAGATTGCATGTGACAAAAGTAACATTTAAAAAACTTACATTGAAAGCTTCAGTTTACAGCTGATTGTAAAATCATGTTAATAGGTTTATAAGTGATTACGTTGGCAACTTTATAACTCATATACCAAATATTTTGCTCAGTCAGGAATTTTTCTGATTATGACCACACAGAAACGCACAGTAAATGTACATTGCCCCCAAGTTGTTGGTGAAGTGCCACATTTGTTTTTATACGAGGGGGCGGTTGGGAACATTAGCTGCAACCAGATTAGCCGGTCACAAAATCAAAGCGTGTAGAATTTTTAGTGTAGAATTGCACATCGATGTCAAGATTGAGACGAGTCGGTTTATGGGATTAGTAACTCTTTAAAGATTAACATTTATTCCAACAGTGCAACTTAGGTACACATTAGATTTCTTTATTAGAATTTACTTTTCAAACATTAGCACAAGGTCAGTAAGAAATTTTACAAACGTTTTAGTAAAGAAAAACTACAGTGTTCATCTTGTCCGACTACACAGCAGCCAGGCAGACAGGACATGCGTTGTAGTGGAATGTAGATAAGCCGGGTCATTGACACAAATATCAGTCGTATTCTTCCTTTACATTCACGCCTCTTAAAATCAACTGTTCGGCCCATCAGAGCAATTATCGACCGTTTTTTTCTTTCAGCGGGATTTTAAGATGCGTGCGCGGCAAACTCTTGCAAACCAGAGGGAGAAATGCATCTTAAAATCAATTTGATGATTGAATAAAATGTGACCTCATCTAGAATCATTTAAGTTCTTTAGGTTTTTACTCAACACTGAATCCCTTTTTAAAAAAACAAAACATACATCAGTCTGAGGTTTAGCTCACAATCTGAACTGGGAACCTGATGCAGAACAAGTCTTCATTGTTGTCATCTCTCAGTTCCCACTCCACCACGAGCTTTATCTGTATAATGCAGAAAAGGAGAAGTTAGTGGTGAACAAAAGGAGACAAAGTTTTTCCATTTAAAAATAAGTCAAGAGGAAGTGAGAGAGATATCAGTACAAAAAACAAAAACCTTTAACACGATTGTTACTAATGCCACATGTTGTACTTACAGCAGGATACACTGCCTTCACAGGTAGAGAGTTGAGATAGTTATAGTTCTGCTGCTTCTGGATGGGACACTGGATTCCAGACTTGCAGCCATCGTCCAAGGGGATGGAGAAAGGGATGGGAACTCCAGCAATAATACCATGAACCACTGCTTTGCTCGTTTTGCTCTCCACAACTACAAGATAAAATGGGACAGAATAAAATCAAAAGATGGAGGGGAAAAGATAAATAAAAGTTAAAAAAAGCAAACTGTCCTCTCACCGCTGCTGAATGTCACATTGACACTGTAGGCCTCTCCTTTGTGGAGCTGGCATGGCTGACTGGGACAAGGGCTAATGTCCACCATAGACACTTTGCCAGAGGGGGAACCTGAGGAAACACAGAGGCAGACTTTCAAAAAAGGTAAATTATTTACTGCTGCCCTCATGTGTAAATATTCTCCATTTTCTTTAGAGAAGACAAACACATTGGCACAATTTCTTTACAAAAAAAAAAAGCTAATTAAGTAGATTCCAAAAAATATTTGAATTTCTTAACTGACACTTTTTAACCACAGAAAATATGTCACACTTCTTCCACTTGCGTTTTTGTTCTGACGTGTACAGTTAGCTGTGACACCTTATGTAGACCAGTGTGTGCTTTTTACAAATCATATCCAATCCACTGAATTTGCCGCAGACTCTAATCAAAGAAGATCAACAGAAATGTGGGTTGCTGATCCAATAGTCTGAATATACATGTGTATTAATTTTAAGTTCTTTTCAATTAGCAAATATTTCTGAAATTCTGATTTCACTTTCTCAGTAAGTGTAATTGGGTTTACTGTGTACCGGTCAAGTATTTTTAGCATACAAGAAACTTGACTCCAGTTTACTTGCACACAGAGCAAGAGAATAAACAAAGATCCAGACTTAAAAACAGTTTTATTCTGATTGAACTCTGCTTTACTAGAGATAAGTGAAATGCAACAGACAAACATGTGACCTAAAGTAAACCAATAGTATTGTGCGAGATTGCTTACTTTTGGTATTCGTAGAGTGGATTCCTACACCAACCACACATTTCATCAAATGACTTCATTCCAAAAACAATTGGTCCACACGACCCAACTAAAAACCAGTCGTTGTGGCTGTACGGTGCAAATTAATAGGAACGCCACCAAATTTACATGGGTTCAGTTTACATCTCATGATGAGCACAACCAATCTTACATTTCCTCTGTGACCAAGGAGGAACATCTGCAGTAACTAAAAGTTAGATCAGCACATGGGTGAGTGCTCATAGTACATTGTGTTCTTGGAAGGTGAGTATGTCTATGGCAGTATGTAGATGCATGTTGGGGGGGGGTGTGGAAACAATTGGTCAATTAAACAGGAAGTAGGTAAATAAGTCAAAATTGACTGTCGATAAAAAAAATTTTTTTTAAACTACATAATCCATGCTGCTCCATTGTAAGGATTCTTGTTTCTCTGATTCAAATCATTTTAAGGAGAATTTACAGTTGTTTTTTTTTATTGCAGGAGCACAACCACATTTACACAAGCTCAGTTAACTTATGATTGTTGCTATGGAGGAAAATCTGGAAAGCATGTAAGGGAGTAGTTCATGTGCATGTGTGCAAATGAAGGTGCAATTCAGTGTTTAAACAATTAAGAAGTGAATAATTAAACTTCAAACTGCTTTGTTAATTAAGGCAACAGAGAAAACTCAATAAACCAGGCTTCTCCAATGGTTTAAATGGAATGTGTGTGTTTTTGGAGAGCTGCTTGAACAAACAGCTCGCATGTTAAGACCTGCTCAGTGTCCAGGGACACTTTCTTTTCCTTTGTCCTGATACTTGAGCATTCATCAGTGGGTTTTCTAATCAGTTCTGATTGAACCACGTGAACAGGGACTCTTTACGAGGTGAGCGGAGTGAAGTGGGTGACGTCCAGGTGAGCTCACCGCAGTTTAAGAACTTGACCGGCACCGCACAGGTGAGTCCCATCAGGCAGAGGACCACCACGAGCTCAGCCCGGAAGTCCATGTTCGAGTCTCTTCTGTGTTTGAGTGAACCTGCGATGAGCGAAATAAACACGAAGAGACGGAAAACACAGAACATTCCGTGAGAGAAGTCAGAGCTCAACCATGTGATCACTTGTTTGTGTCCCTGAGTGTCACAGATCACAGCGTTAACAGCGAGGAACACACACACACAGTCAGGTTAAAAGACAAATCAACATAAAGCGTCAACAGCATAACTGAATAAAGTAGAACTAAGAATCTGAGAGAGCAGCTGTACCTTCAGGGAGCTTCAGTCACCGTCCACACAGGAAGTGCTCCCGTCTTTATTTCGCTGCATCACGAGGCCGTGGTAACGCCTATTTATAAGAGCCCGGTGTTTGCTTTGCCCGAAATGTGGCCTGTCAGGCATGGAGCTACGGTGGCCGAGAGAGCTCAACGCGCTGCAAGTTAAGAAAACACGCGCAAATGGAAAACATAACTGCGAATTAAGCAAGTTAAACGATACATGCACTACAAAATGTCTCAACACGTGAGAATAGAGCAACGCGCTGCAAAATGTCAAAACACAAACATGCTGCAAAAAAGTCACAACATGTGCAAATATAGAAATGCACTGCAAATTGCAAAAACGACACCTGAAATGTTTCCATGGGACTCAAAGAAATGATGAGCCTGGCTGTAGTTCAGTGCTTTGTGAAGTTCCATCGCCACTGACGAGGAGCAGACTTCAATAACTTCACTTTACTGTACTTACACTTGAGACTTTTTTGCAGCATGTGTCTGTATTTACATGTGTTTTGACTTTTCGCAGTGCAAGTGTTGTCAAATTGATGAAGTTGTTTTCTTAATTTGAACTCCTGTTTTTTTCTATTTGCATGTTTTTTCTTAATTTGCAGTGCGTTCATCTCGGTCACTGTATGGAGCTCCTCTCCTGGGCTGTTATTGGCGATTAAATCCTCCGATTTTAAACTAAACCAGTTATCTATAAACTTTTACTCTCTTGTTTGATTGGTGGGTCTTGTTGAGGGCTGCATGCAGTCGGGGGTTTGGGGGGGGGGGGAGCTGTGCCTGACAGGCAAAACGAAGGGGAATAATACCCACACACATCATACAGTCAAATCCAATCAAAGCTCAATACCTTGTGACGGGCAGGCACATTGACGAATCAACTGGCCGCATTGTGATACATGGGCGTATCTATGTTAACAGACAAGCATTTAAGCCAATGACAGTGCGATAGGTGTCCTCGTCACGTAAAGGAGGCGGAGCTAAAGAGCATTTGTTATGGAAGATGTCATTCGTTAGAGGAGCCATGATAGCTGCGTCAAAGACAAGAATGTGGAGCTTCGCTAGGTAACTCTCAGTTATTGAATATTGAACACGTCACTGTAGATGTCCCTGATCCAAATATTACCATGTAAACATGCTCAGCGGAGAAATAGTTGTGTGTTGAATTTAGCCAGCTAGCTTGCGAGCTAACCGCTAACGCTACTGCTAACTCACACACACTACAAGTCCGTCTGCTCGTACACGATCTGATCCCCGCGCTGTGTTCACGGTTTCCAGGTCCTCGACTCTGCTGAACAGCCTCGGTGTGAACCAGCAGCTCCAGCGGCTGCCCACCAACACCACAGCGGGGCTCCGGCGCCTCAGCAGCGCCTCAGCCCAGCAGCAACCATCGGTGTCAAATCCACCTGAGGATAAAGTGCTCCTCACTGAGTCATGTGTGAAGGTCAGCAGATAATCATGACTCAGCATCATGGTCTTTGGGTCTGTGTTTGGACAAGTGTTCGTTTCAGTGTTAAAATAAAACAACACTACGCCCTATGACCTCATGATGAAGTGTCATGGTTCCTCTACATCTGAGATATGTGTCTGTGAAGAAATGAAATACTCCCACACTGTCAGTTACTGCACTCACTGCCTCAATGATGTTTTGACAGTCTCATATTGTGTATGATGAAGGTCTGAGGACACAGACTTTGTCAATATTATGAGTACAAGTGATCAGTATTGTGTTAGAAATTTCCAAACAGATGTAAATGTTTGTCGACGAGTGGCAACTCAATTTAGGTTTTGTCGAAGTTAGGACTAGTCATGAACTTCTTAGTTCTCATGTTTTAAAATGTCGTTTTGACTCATCAAAGCCAACTGACTGGTGTCATCTGGTATGTGATGTGTTGACGGACAGTACAGGATCATGAGCATCACTGTGACTTACAGTCACCAGTGACTGTGATTTTCAAAAAACAAATGTACAGTAGAAATCTAAAATGACTTTTGAAGTTGTGTTGACGCTCTCGTGCTTTTTGCCTTGTCTCCCTTCTTTCAAACCAGAGGTTGGGGGAGATCATGGGGAAGGGCGAGTACCTGAGAATACATGTGGAGGGAGGAGGCTGCTCCGGGTTCCAGTACAAGTTCTCTGTTGATGGAAACAAGAATGAAGACGACAGGTGAACTGACACTGATTCCTGTCACTGTTTCCTGAGAGCCACACTGTATCCCCACTAAAGCCAATCACGCGTGTCCCTCTCTGTACCCAGAGTGTTTGAGCAGGGAGGCGTGGGCATCATCGTGGACCAGGACAGCCTGGAGTTTGTGAAAGGGGCCACTGTGGACTTCAGCCAGGAGCTGATCCGCTCCGCCTTCCAGGTTCTCAAGAATCCTCAAGCCGATCATGGCTGCTCCTGTGGCAGCTCCTTCTCAGTCAAACTATGACCCTGCTTTCCTGTTACCTGCATTAATATGAATGAACACACACATTTACCAGTTTATCAGAGACACATCTTCAACATATGCGTATAAATCAACTGGTAACTCTGAATATTATTTCATTTTGAACTATCTGTGATATTTTGAACTCCCACATCAGCTAATAATTACATTTTGTGTCAACAATCAAACTGGTAGATAATGTGTTGCTTTCTTTTTCAATGTGAATTTTGCCGATGTGAATGAAAGACAAATCGTTGCAGGTGGTGACAGGCAACAGTGTTCACAACATTCAACTTTGTTGAAATTGAAGGGATTTATTCAGTGCATAGACTTACCTTGTTTTGTAAATGATGTATATAGGACATATATATGCTAAATTATATTTCTTTCAACTTAAATAAAACTGAGTGAATATGAAATAGTTCATCTTTTCTTCGTGTGTGAAAATTGGTGTTTTTATAAACTAATCATGGTGGTGGGGGGGGGGGTTATGTTTTCACCCATGTTTGTCTGTTTGTCAGAAGCATTACACAAACACCAAGACAGAACCCATTGCATTTGGTGGGGATCCATACATAGGGGGAAATCCAGGACATTTTTATCACTTTATTTAAAATTAGAGTGCATATTTTTTTTTACATTTTCAAGATATTCCAGAGAATAATTAATGTGTCTAGATAAAAAATATATATTTCTGAGTGTGTGGAATGTGGTGCAGCTTGATTGAATTGAAGGGGACTGTCGGGCCCTGGTGGACGTGTGTGCTCTCCTGAGTGCCTTTGTAGTTTTAAATAGATCTCGCATGATGCACTGACACCGTCCTGATAACATCAGTGTGATGAAAGAGCAGCAAGAAACTTTCTTGATGATTGATTGAGGGTTAGTTTGAGCACTGCTGGTTTAAATACATTGGTTCCTCAGCATTATGAATCATTACCTCTGCTAACAAGGTGGTTTTCACACGGTGGAAAACTGGGACATGAGAAAGGCTTGGCACAGATGGAGACAAAGGGGCGGATTCTTTTTCACTTTCTTTAACATTGTGAGATAGGGCATTTTTGACATTGTCACTGTTTTCTCAGAGTAATTCCTGGATCTTGGTGAAACAATTCAGGCACATTATGGGGACTGATATCTATGAGTTTGTGCAATCTGGTGTGGATCCACATAAAAATCGGACATATGTTTTACAAATATGGTTTTATTAGGAGGGATGCACTCTACTGAGTGCAGTTCCAGTTCTGTTATATATTTCTGATGTTTTTACTCAGTAAACGTTTTTCAGACAAAGCTCAAGTTCATGGTTGCCTTTTTTATTAAAGTGGATTTTAAGAAACATCTCACCAAAAATATACAAAAAGAATATCTACAAATGATATTTACACTGGAGTAATGTAAATCAAAATATGCAGCAACGTTTTTTTTCATAGTTAGTCTTAATACAGGGAGCAAAAGTTTTGCTCTTTTCATATTTTCTCTGATAAAACATTCCATTTGAGCAATATATCTGCTTACACACAAAACACTGACTGACTGTCACACCATTCATATTCATGAAAACGCAACGATAATACATCATACAGCAGCAGCACACTGAAAAGTGACTGAAAGAATCACAACTGTGCATTAAAACATAATAATTTTTTTTTTTTTTTTACAACTGTTCTTTTAGTTTTCTGAGGATTTTGGTTTGGACAGATTGTCTTCCAGGAAGCCATGCACACCCAGGACCCACAAACGGGCATGAATGAGGGGGAAACACTGTGGAGGGAGGTCTGAGGTCAACCAGTCAACAACACAGCCACATGAACCATAAATGAACCGTCAGGGTAACACAGTGACCAGGTCAGGTGTACAGTGCATAGTATGCTTTGGCATGCTGACATCCAGAACGTAACAGTGGATGTTACATTCAGGTGGAAGGCCACAGGATTTGGAATCACCAGTAAAAATAGAACAAACAAACCCACGACTACATGATTCAAAAAGCAAAATACAAAAAGAATCCAAACCCTCGTAAATTGAACACTCAGATTAAGGCTAATTCAGTTTGCTACATGTTTTTTAAAAAATGGCATTGTCAGTAACACATGTTCACAGGCCTGTGGGACACAGATTCTCTCATTCTGAAAAAAATGATATGCACATACTGTGTTAGAGGGATGCCTTTTTTTTTTCTCAGTGATGATGCGATACTGTCAGAGCAGTATCCGCCTGTGTTCACAGTCGGGACTGATGCTGTGATGAAAATGAGCCTCGCACGTATGCATGCACCAAGTTTTGAGGCAGTGATTTGAATCACTGCTTGTCCTCATTTACAAGCTGCCACTATCTGTCCTCCTTTTTCTTCAAGTGGCTTCTTTTCGCTGATTCTTTTCCTCTGGAGAGCCGTGCTGAGAGAAGCTTTCTGAGGCAGGAGGGTCCAGGCGTGGTCCTCAGTGAGGGGCGTGGACACACCTCCACACAAAGAGGCTAGAGGGGACATAACAAAGAGGAAGATGCGTCTTTCAATATTTGATTTCTATCTCATTTAAAGTTTTTATTTAAATCCTTAGTCCCTGGGCAGGACCAGAGGGTTCTGGCCATAGCTGAAATCTGATTGGCAACTGAATGAATGACTTAAATGTGCACCATGCTGAATCAGGAATTTAACAGGAGTATAATTGGCCCCTTTGTGTAAATTCTAGCCCTTGATTTAAAGAAATCTTAGACGCCTCTGTACCTTCTGTCATCTCCGCCGGCGCTGACGACAAAACGATCTCCATTTGTGAAGCGCACGTTTGTCAAGTGAGCAGAGTGACCCAGAAAGCGTTTGTGTTTGGCCTAAAAAAAAAAAAAACAATCACATCCACATATTTAAAAAGGCATTTTTCCAATTACTTTATATTATTTTACAGCACAGACACAGCGATCACACTTACAAACTTCTCTGGACATGGAAAGTCAAACAGCTTCACCATCCCAAAGTCGTCGCCTGTGACGACGTTTAGGCCCGAGTGGGAAACACAGGCACAGGTGACGTCTGCTTTGTCAGTGTTACGGGACCAGATCCCAACAACCTCATCACCCAGGACACTGGAGACAGAGACAGAGAGAGTGACGATATTTAAGGCTCAGACATTTTTACACATGCACTGATGGTGTGTATCAGTTTCATAACAGCGACCCTCACCTCGTCCAGGAGGCCCAGGTAATCCTGTCAATGAGGGACTGCTCTGTGACCGGTTTCCCAGACGGCACCTCGTACACCAGTCGTTTATAGGTACCTGTGGATATCTGAGTCAACAACACATTGGAGGTCAGCGGTGAAACAGCCGATGACGTCTCACTGCAAAGCTGACGGGGACCTCTGATATTTCCATACCTGGACGGAAGTGCTGTCTGCAGAGAAGTCCATCTGCATGACGAAGCTGGGGATGTCCCTGCAGCAGTTGATGCGGTTCAGCTGCGGGCCGAGCGTCAGGTCGTAGAAGTCGACGGCGCTCTCATTGGAGCCGACGGCCAAGTAACGAGAGTTTGGACTGAACCTGCAAGAGACACGTGCAGAGCTACAACTGACCTGTGTTCTCTCAGTTACATTTTACTGTACAGTTGAGGGTTTGACAGTTTCAGTTTCAGAATCTGGATTCCTGAAGTTCTGAAGTTTTTGTGCTGAACAGAAAACACAGCTTTTTGTCTGTTTATTTATCTATTGGCTTTAATTCCCATCCATTTGGTACATTAACTCGTTGGTGGGGATTGCTGATTACTAGTGGAATATTTGTTGAGCAGCCAATCAAGGGTAAAAAACAGGCAAGGAGGCAAATCAGAATAAGCCAATCAATTATTACATAAAAACGTACATCCAAGCTGCTGCTTAAATAGAGCGACTCAACTATGAATACCTGATATCCTGGATAGGGGAGCGCCGATCCCTTTTCTTGCCCCAGATTTTGAGGGAGGCAACCAGGAGGATGATGAACTCTCCATTCTTCATGCCGATGGCCACCATGTCCCCCTCAGGACTGTAGCTGATGGTGTGTGCCGGGTGGCCCAGGTTCACCTTATTCAGCATCTTCTGTTTACCCACAAGGAAACACAAGATGATCACAAAAAAATCTTCACATTTCCACCACACAGCCGAGTGAAATGAAATATGTATGTGAGTGGTTGACTGGTACCACGGCTGACCTTCTCAGGGATGTCCCACAGGCGAACAGTGCCGTCCTCTGCAGCAGACAGAAACACATCTCGAGAAGGGTGCGTGCCCAAACCCCAGATCGGCCCGTCCATGTGTCCGTTCACCAAGATGTTGCACGCTGCGTTCTTCTCCCCTACTTCAATGATCTCTGCGTTTCTGGTGCCCACCAGGATTTTACCCTGATGCAGCACAGAGGGAGGCATGTCAAAATCCAGATGTTGATACAGCATACAGATACTGAGGACCACATTATCTGTTAAGTACCTTTCCTCTGCATACAGAGCGAACACAGTCTATGACCTGTCCGGTTTCTAATCGAAAGGCTCTGCAGCGTTTCAACTCCTGGTCCCAGAGCTTTAGAGCTCCTCCTTCTTTTGACCTGTGGAAAAAAACATCTGTTTCATCCACTAACTGAGGAAAACTGCAGCTACATGTGATTCATGTGCTACATTTACTGCACACAGGATGTGAGTGACTTGAAAACAAATACACAGTGAATCACATGATGTACAGTACATCTTTCTTTCTCATATATATTTAAACTTAAGAGTTACTCCAGTCATTTGGGTACAAAGATGACCAAATGTCGATCATACATAATAAAAGTGAACTCCACTGCTACCGTCCACTACTAAGCCTGTATGTGCATAGTGTTGTTTACTGATGTGAGCTCAAGTGAATTCATCCAAACAAAGAGCACTCACGGTCTTTCTTTGCCTCCGGTGACGATGAGGCCGTCTCTCAGTGTGGTGTACATGGTGAACACGGGGCCCGTGTGAGCTTTGGCCACTATTCTTACTAGAATGTGTTCCTTCCACACACACACATCCCCACTTATGGTACCTGTAAATGTCAAGTTATTCTGAAAAGAAAACAAATCTGCACTAATCTAGTGGCCTATAGAGAGCAGAGCGAGCAGTGCAACAAAACACAATTCACAGCACAGTAAAGCAGAAAGTTTGAGATAAGATGAGTTGTAAAATGTCTGTAGATTCAAATCATGAGGTAAAATGTCATGTGCAGTAAGAACAAGCAACAATATAAAGACTTAACAAAACGTTTTCTTGAGTGAGATCAATTAGACATTAGATTATAATGGTGGAAATGACTTACAGCTCCAAATGCTACAGACAGCATGGTCTGCATCCGGGCGTCCTCTATGGTGCTCAGCACTCCTTTCTTGCTGAGCAGAGCTCGACCAGCTAACGTCCAGAAACGCACGTGTTTGATCCCCACAGACACAAAGTGCGTGTCCGAATCCGGCCTGAACTCAGCCACGAAGATCCTCTGGGTGTGGCCTATCCGGCTGGCCACTTTGGCACCTGGGAAACAAAGCAGAGTGCAATGAAAGTGTGACCTTTTCCCTCATTCCATCATCCCGCCAAGTTGAAAGAAGATTTTAGTTTTTCTACCTTCCTGCCACTTCCAGATGGTGACGGTGTGTTCAGGGTCCAGGCCCACAGACAGCAGGAGCTTTCCTGTGGCACTGAAGCTGACGGAACACACGCCGCCCGAGTGGAAACAACGTAGCACCGATAGTGTTTGTTTAGTCATGGCGTCCCACACATGAATAGCTGGAGATGTGGCTGTCGGAAATAAACAAAGTGAAGACTAATCATCACCTCAGCGAAGTTAAAATTATGATTTATCCTTGGATCTGTTGCAAAAATAACTATCACATTAAACTAAAATGGTAAATGTTAGAGTTTAGACATATTTCAATATATTTCAATTGTATTTTTTATAATTAAAATCCGGAAATTAAGAATAAAGCAAGTTTGCAATTGGGAACACATATTTCAAATCAGATGACCACTAGATGGCCCTAGATGTAAAGAATACAGATGAGATTTACTTTGAGTTAAAAACACCACGCCTCTTACTTTTGAATGAGGTCTAATGTAGTTCTGTCCTTACCTGACATGTCACCAGTATCACCTGAAATAAAGGAAAATCAGATTAATCGACAAGGCAGACATATTATTAGTTAATTTTTGAAACTTAAATTTTCAGCTACGCTGTTTCTCCAGCAACTTCCAATAAAATTTGTAGTCTCAACTTCACGATTTATATAGAAATTGCAGCATACGATAACTACCACACAACTATCCATATGTGCAAAAAGGATCATTTAGCTCATTAGTTGCTTTATATTACAGATACGCAGTAGCGGGGTAATGGACACAGTCAAGGACTATATTCCCCCTGCACGTCGACAACACAGGATACAGGGAAGAGAAATGAGGCGGCTGTTGACACAGGAGGTCAACTTTTCACAGACATACCTACTTGGCCAGTTGCCACCACGTTGGGGAATTTGGGATGTTGATTGATTGTCAGGCACAGAATGTCGTCACTGTGTTCTACGTAGAAACTTTGGCAGGCTGGAAGAAAAGAACACACACACACACACACACACACACAAAGAGGAAGTCAGTATACGTTATATTTGCCTGGAGGAAGCACTGATGGTAACACATTAGCACGGTTTCTGGTGCAGTCCTCTGTCTTACTTACAGGTCGTCAAGTTGAGCACGATGCCAATTGAGGCTGTGTGGTAAATGATGTCCGCCCCTTCGTTCAGGTAGTGCACGTTGTTGCGGCAGTCATTGCCACGGTAACCGAAAACCAGGTCCAACACCAGGTCCTGCGGGAGAGTCGGATAAAAGAGCACCAGAAAGTCACAAAGGTCAACGCCATGACAACGAAGATGTTTCCGAGCGAGCTGATGGAGAGAACGTCATTATTGGATTACAGAGGCATCAGAGTCCCCCGAGAGGCCGTCTGCACAGAGAACGAGCACACAGCGTCTTCAGCTGAAATAACCACATTAGAGACCACCTTCTGTTCTGTCTACATAAAACTCATCAGCTGTATCATATCTATTAGCTTGTTGTTTTCAGGGTGAGGATGTGACGTCCTTTTTACCTCAATCGTCCTCTTTTTTTTGCCGACGTTGTTGGTCTGCAGCTTCTCCGGCTGTGGCAGCGCTCTGCTGACAGGAGGCCTGAAACAGACAGCTGGGATAAGAGGGCGGCCGAGGAGTTGCTTATCAGGCTGATAATTATAATGAGGATAATAATGATTTGACAATGTTTACCACTGAGACTGTCCTACAGAACATTTCACGAGTATTTGCAAACAAACAAACGAAGACGCTGGTTTTATCTCTTAATCCATGAAAATCCTCTTTTTTTTTTCTGAAATAACACGATTATCAAGGTGGAATAAGTTCAACAAAAAAATCAGACGTCAAAGCTTCTTGCATCACACAGTGTCTGTACCAGTGAAGCAATGAAAGATGTTTGAACCAGGCAACAGAGTGGGAATATGTCTATAGAGGGAGGAGGCAAAGGTAAAAGTTAGAGCTCAACAGATATGGATTTTTGGGGTTTATAGTGATATCGATATTAGGGAGTATAACATTTCCAATACATGATATATTGGCTGATTTATATACATATTAATATATGTTGTTAACAAACCCTTTTGACAAAGAAACTTAATTGTGGCTTGACATTTTATAGTTTAACCACAAACTTAACTTTGTAGAACTCCTGAACATAACTGCTCATCTTTTATGTATTGTTTATTCTCTACAATAACAGTGTTTATATAAGCACATATACGCAGACACCCATTATCTTTGAAAGACTCCTATTGCCTCATTTAAAGGCAAGTTATAAATAGGTCGGACTGTAGCAAAAATCAATGTAAAAGCGACAGTAGATATGAAATATCACAATGACATTGTCAATTTCTGCTGCTTTCTCCATTTCCAGGCATATTCAGACTGTAAATCAATTCAGTATTAAAACACAAGGATATGAAAATCAATTAATAATCTTACAAATGGGAAACATTCATAGTTCAGTTCAATCCACAAATGGAAAAAGAAATGGACAACTCATTCAGTGTCTTACCTTGACCCTCTTCATGGCAGCAATAACAAAGAAAAAACAGGAATTAGAAAAAAAAGAGGTTTCCCACAGCGTTCACTGCTGCCTGCTGGACACACGCAACACAACAGCACAGCCGCTGAGGACACAAAATACAGGAGTCAGCACCAGCACGTAGCCATGACAACCAAAGTCCATTTCTATGACAACTGCTGCGCAGAAGATGCGTGGATGTCTGCATCACTGTCAAAAAATCTAAACTGGAAACCAATCTGATAAATCAATAAACCTGAGGCACAAAATCATTGCAACAATGGAAAGAACTGATATGTGTGTAAATAGTGTTTAAGTCAGATGAACTACACCTCCTTAAAATGCTTTTGACGAGAATATCTCAGGCATTTCCAATTTTCCTTCTGGTTTGATGTGTGAAGATAAAACTTGACCCACTTTAATCAAACTATTTCCCTGGAGTAAGTTAATTAATACGACTTAACAAAGGACACTTTGTTTTCCAACTGATATTTTTCTAAATATGTTCTAGACGTGAATTAATTTAAATCTTTGAGTCAATTAAAATGCATTTACAATGTTTATAGTAACCTAAGTGCAAGTTATTATTTACATTTATAATCATTATTTACATCAGCATCTTTAAAGCAGTTCAATGATTTGCTGAATCTGTCTCATGCTTCTAAGTCGCTCTAGCTTCAGATTGGTTTGTACGGACACAAGATAACAATAACAAGAGTGTAACCAGGAAGCAGGTTGTTGTGGCTGATGAATGTGGAAAACAGTAAAGTGCTGCCGATGTGTGTACTCACCTAGAGCGAACAAACCACCACACATTGAAACCTCGCGTTTCACACTCTGAAGTACCCTGATGTTTGAAGCCTTGATATCCACTATGTTTAAAAGTCATACAGTGACCACAACGTTTATGCTCGCCAATGCACATATTTTAACTACAACCACCCGACGCTCTATATCTTCAGTGCAAAATCAACATAATTAACACCAGAGCTTACCTGACCACCCCTTGTCTTCATGTGGAAGTAAAGAAGGAAGCAGGATAGTGAGAGATGGACAGGAAAGAAGAAAAGCAAAGAATGTTGTGTTATTTCAAAAGAACAGAGAGAGGGAGAGAGAGGAGAGAATAGATACACTCCCAGTCAAAAGTTTAACAGCACCTCCATAAGTACCTGTTACTCAATATTAGATAAAGCGTCTTTTAATTTAAAATTGATTAAACAGAATAAATAAAATTAATATGGGAAGTTGAAATAAAAACATTGGTGTTTCTCAAACCTTTGACTGGTAGTGTTTTTGACTGAAAAAGGCAGGAATGGATTTATTTTGATGCGGAGGCCTTATTATTCGTACTTTGACTGGCTGAAGCTCAACAGTCTCAGCATGTTTAAATAAATACTCTTCATTTCTCAGCCTCATTTGAAATACCTTTCATCCACAGAGGGCTCCTTCAGCTGCAAGTGGGGTTTCACACCAGTCATGGGTCGCATGTTGGTGGATAAGGCCTTGATGGTGTAGTTGATCTCGTTCTCTCTCGTCACGTCGCTGTCATAACCTGACGAGAGACGGGAACTGTGTACATTTTTCTCAAGCAACAGAAACTCAAGTAAAAAAATAGCTCTCATCGCCTCACCTCCGTCATCTTCACTCTCGATGTCCGACTCCTCGCTATCGCACTGTTTGAATTCCCGGTGGCCCTCGGGCTCATGGGCCCAGATCATGAGGCATGTGTCCCCCCCGCCCACTGTCACCAAGAGACTGTCGTCATGAGTCCACCGCACGTTGGTAACGTGAGCGCTGTGGGCCACATAGCGCTTGAACTTTGCGTACTTCCCCTGTGGCAAAAGGACAACAATTATGCAACACACCAATTAACATAACATTTACATAAACCTTAAAGCATTGAGTCGTGAGACGTTCAATCTGGTTGTACTAAGAAACGTGGACCGTCCATGTCTCACCTTGACAGGGTATCTAAAGAGCTTGACATATCCCAAATCATCTCCTGTTGCCAGCACCTTCCTGTCGTTACTAAGGCAGGCGGAGGTCACCTCTGTGACCTCACTGATCACAGGCCAGATTCCCTCAACTGATGTTCCCAGGACACACGTCCATGTGCTCCAGTCAATCTTCTCCACCTGGACAAAGTCAGTATCTGGTCAGTTTGTGCAATTTACAAAAAAGTTATTAATCAAACACAAGGGCAACAAAATAGAACACGACAACTTCAGAAATGCCGTCAGACCAAAAAGATCACATAACAATAATGGCTAAAAACAGCCAATGGAGAGAGACAACTACTGGAGTAATGTGTTACTCTCTGTAGACAAAGGGGAAAGTCTGCTATGTATGCTAAGCTAAGCAGCTGCTACCTCAGCTTTATATCTAGCGTACAGACATCAGAGGTGTATCAAAGTTTAAGTCTGATATAATGCAAGAAAGAAGTGAAGAGTGAATGTGAAGAATACTTACTGACACAAAATGTCACTTGAGACATATTATGCTCATATTCAGGTTCATAGTTTTAATTTATGTTTTACTAGAAAATGTACTTTCCTCAAACTGTCTATTGCTGCAGCTCCTTATTTCAGCCTTTGTCTGAAACACTTGGTTTTAGCTCCTGTCTCTTTAAGACCCACCCCCTCCCAATAAAGCAGAGTGTGCTGGCTCACCCTGTTGTTATTGGCTAACGACTTCCCGCATGCAAAGGAAAAGTCGGCCGTAGACAGAAGACATCATTTAAATTGAGAATGTTTTCTGCTGAGATGGCCACATTAAAATTCTACAGTATTAGAAAAGTAAAACAGGGCTAAGAACAGACTGCTGCCTCAGCCTGTTAGTGACGATCCTGTGATCGAGTGCACAAGAGAAGAGGGTAAGAAATGGGAAGTGAGGAAAAGTGTATGCATCACGATGAGGTGAGACCGATGAGCAGAGGTAATAGCGGACATTTGAGGTGCCACAGAGCCTCGACTCAGCAGCATCTATCATCTCTGGCCCTTATTTTCTTAATGCCCTGCTCCGCTTTGTGCCTCGCAAAGTGTCTGAACGTCTCACTGTATTAAATGGATTCGCAAACCATCTCACATCCACCGCCAAAATTAGAATGACACTTGTGAAAAGTGGGCCGTGTTAATGCTTCACTGCCCTTCCCCGAGCCTCTTCTGCTCCCAGGGGGAAAATGTGGGCCAGCGGCACCATAACAACGGCTGCTCCTGTGCCTTTTCTCCTTGCTTACCTCTGTGGACGGAATGGTCTGCTTCTTGCCACGAGGAGCTTCAAAGAAAAACTGCTCCTTAGCACCTGTGTTGACTTGAAGGAGTTTTCCTGTGGAGTGAAGGAGCCCAGAGGGTTGTGCTGTTTTTATAAGAGGCATTTTGAAAGCAAGGCTCAAAAGGCATTTGATTCACAAAAGATTTCCTGAGACAATAGCATTTAAGGAAGCATGTCTACCTCTCTTGTCCCAGTCCAGATGGGTAATGTAGTTGAGGCATCCTTTGCAGACTCCAACCCTTTTGCTGCTCATTACATTGTAGATATCCACAAACGTGTCTCCTGATGCTACCGCGAGGTATTTCCCAACACCTGAGTCAACAAGAGAGAGACGCGTTAGACATTTTCACACCAGCAATCTTAACCAAGGATCAACAGAACCGAGCCTTTAAAACCAAGTCTGTCTGTCAGTTGGCTGGTGGCTTTGTTGGTGCAACGCATAGACTGTATATAAAGATGGACGACATGACAGCTCCCAAAAGTGAAGCCAAAGTGTCTCAATCACTCACTGGAGAGGGATAAAACTTAAAGATCAAAGTAAATTCCAACTAGTTTCAGAATTCTTTCATTTAAGGTGGTTCTGAACGAACTGATGTGAAATAGAAGCCACAGCCAAAACACAGCATGTTAGCCAGGTTCCTCTGCCTCCACGTTCAGATAATTTGATTGGTTAGCACCTGTATTTGAGTGTTTGTTTAAATGTAAATTGTTGGGACCTCGATACCACGGTTCCATTCTCCGATCATTAATTTAAGTCGCATTGATTTAAATCTAAGATGACGACTGAGAGGGATTGAAGGGTGTTGGGTTGAGAAACAGGATCCCTTTCATTTTGTTTAGGAGTTTAGTTTCTAGCTCTCACTTTGTTTGTCCCCACTGTTTCTCATTCCTCTCTTGCTGTCTTGCCGTCTGGCCTTACCACGGAAAGCCATTAATTTGGGTCACGCCTGCAGCAATATCTCCCTGACTTACAGCGGTGGGGGGTGGGCATGTTTACCTGCTGAACAGCATCCCACATAAACTCAGAAGCTTTGAAGGGCACAGTGGCACAGAGGCCTCTTTGGTTCTTGGGAAAGGAACTGAATGTTTGAGTTTTGAAGCACAGACCTGGAGAGAATCTAATATCAGAAATGATGTCTTTGCGGTGGTGGAAGGACACCAGATCCTCCAGGGTGTCGGCATTCACAATAAGGAAACTGCCATCGTTGAGACCCACCGCCAAGGCTTTGCCGTCAGGGGAGAAGCAGCAGCAGCGGCCGCCTGTGGAGGACAAGGTGTTTGTCAACGCCCTGGTACCACTGCACTTCCTGTCAGGCTGAACAGATACGCTCATAAAAAATATGCTCATATGCTCGTGTTGCAGATGTGACTCACCTTTCCTGAGCTTGCGTACAGCCAGCATGCAGTGACTGGGTGAGAGGTCCCATATGCGCAGGGTTTTGTCATCGCTAACGGTGGCACAGAGCGGGAGATGGGGATGAGTGGCCAGGCCCCACACTTCACCCTCCATGTGGCCCTGCAGACACATTAAACACGGGAATAATCAATTTAGAGCCAGACAACTCATTCTTAGGTGACAAAGGGATAAAACCATGAAAACGTAAGTGAATAATATTCTAGTTAAATAATACTACAAGTCAGAGCACCTTTAAGACAATGATAATAATAAT